TGGAAGGAATTTATCGGGAATATTTTAAGACTACAAGAAAATAGCTTGAAAAGAAGTGTGAAGTAATAAAAATTTCAAAAATAATTTAGAGTGTATTTTGAGTAATTAAACACTTTTCCAAAGAATCAAATGGGAATTGTTAAGCTGTATTGGACCAAATATGGAGTTTCTGAATTTTTTGTTTGTTTTTTCACACAATATTCCCCCTTTTCAAGAATTTTGATAGTTTTCGAATTATAATTTCCTGAAATCCTTGCATTTTAGGTATATAGTGTCTTCGGCAATATTACTGATAAAATATAGAGGAATATTTTGGTATGCAACTTTAACCCTCAACCGACTCATTAAAGGGGTCTTTTTGGTCCCCTTTTCCAGGAGTGATTGAAAACTCATTCAAAACGGGGTTAAAGCTGCTCAGAATATTCTACAGAAATATTCGCCAGAAAGTTTTACTATAAGTCTCAGAATAGACTAAAACTCAAAAATCAGCCTAAACGTCAAAAATCTTAAAAAACAAAAACTCATTCTAGGGTTAATATCGTACTTATTACTAGTTTTTACCTATTTTTCCCACAAGATGTCGTTTTAGAAGGATAGTATAAAGGACAAAAATATTCTCCATCAATTTTTAGCATAAGTCACTGAACAAGAGAAAACTGTATATATAATGCATATACCGAATATATAGTCATACATTTTGAACCAAAAATTCAAAATGTTTTTATATTTTTTTTTCTAAGACATTTCCCAGTATTTTTTCGACAAAGTGCATAAAAGTAACATGAAACTTAATTTTAGGTATATAATGTCAAAGAATAAAATATTATACGTCAAAATCCACTTCAAGTCTCAGAATAAACTATATATTTATATTCAATAGTTTTTAAGAAGATAAAACAAACCCGTATCCTCTTAACCATACTAAAAAAATCGAAAATCCAAAAAAAAATGTTTGATTTAATTCAAAAATTAATTTATTTTATTTTCAGATATCTTCATGTTTCTATTTGTTTTTCGCGGCTATTATGATTTCCTGAAATCCTTGCATTTTAGGTATATAGTGTCTTCGGCAATATTACTGATAAAATATAGAGGAATATTTTGGTATGCAACTTTAACCCTCAACCGACTCATTAAAGGGGTCTTTTTGGTCCCCTTTTCCAGGAGTGATTGAAAACTCATTCAAAACGGGGTTAAAGCTGCTCAGAATATTCTACAGAAATATTCGCCAGAAAGTTTTACTATAAGTCTCAGAATAGACTAAAACTCAAAAATCAGCCTAAACGTCAAAAATCTTAAAAAACAAAAACTCATTCTAGGGTTAATATCGTACTTATTACTAGTTTTTACCTATTTTTCCCACAAGATGTCGTTTTAGAACGATAGTTTAAAGGACAAAAATATTCTCCATCAATTTTTAGCATAAGTCACTGAACAAGAGAAAACTGTATATATAATGCATATACCGAATATATAGTCATACATTTTGAACCAAAAATTCAAAATGTTCTTATATTTTTTTTTTTCTAAGACATTTCCCAGTATTTTTTCGACAAAGTGCATAAAAGTAACATGAAACTTAATTTTAGGTATATAATGTCAAAGAATAAAATATTCTACGTCAAAATCCACTTCAAGTCTCAGAATAAACTATATATTTATATTCAATAGTTTTTAAGAAGATAAAGCAAACCCGTATCCTCTTAACCATACTAAAAAAATCGAAAATCCAAAAAAAAATGTTTGATTTAATTCAAAAATTAATTTATTTTATTTTCCGATATCTTCATGTTTCTATTTGTTTTTCGCGACTATTAAACCGTATTTCAGTGTGATTTGACTAGTATGCGAAGAAAACAATGGTGTTTAGGCATTTGTGAAGAAATTCGCGAATTACAACGAATAGGAATCCATTTAATATATATTTGAAATACAAGATTTAAAACCGCTATAACTTTTGTGCGCAGCATCCGAATTTGTGAACGCGAACAGATTTCGAATCAGCATATTTTTCTTAACCTATGTACCAAAAATCATAAATGTGCTCGCAAAAAATTTTTCAAAATTTTTTTATTGGATTTTTAAAAGAATTTTGTAATTTCCCATATATATTTAAGTTCATTCCATTTATTGGAATAAGTAAATAAAATAAAAATGTTTATTATTTCTTAAGTTACTTAACCTCAAGTTTCCAAACATCAAGTTACTAAACCCTTTCAAGCTCAAATTCGAAGACAAGCTATAACGGTTCACATTTCCATTTCATTAGGGGAGATTTTTGTGCAAAGTGTCAATATTTTGTAAATCAATTTAAATCAAGCAGAGAGCTGTTCAAAATTAAATCTTAATTGGACACCAGTTCATTATTTGGTACACAAACCACTAGTTCATTATTTTGTGCACAAATTATTTGCATATAAACCAATTTTTTACAAATCGCAATATTCGAGGCTCAATTTAACATATGTTAGGCTATATTAACTTTATAACGATGTGCAAAATTTGGTGTCAATCGAACATGAAGATTTTGATGCACCATTAACAAAAAATCGGACAAAAATATATATGGGAGCTATAACTAAAACGGAACCAATTTCATCCAAACTTAGCAAATGTTATTGTTGATCCATTTCGATACGTTGCACAAAAGTTTGTACCAATCGGCCTAAATTTGATTCTTTGGTTCCCCCTTTTGCTAAAAAGCAGACGAAAATATATATATATATATATATATATATATAGATTCTATAAAAATAATTGCTTGTCCTGTGGGTCTCACATGTTTTCTATTTTTTTTATTATGAATTCTATTTTCAACTTCAGTAAAGTCAGTTTTTTTCCATCACAGCCTTATATAGGTTAGGTTACGGTTGTTAGTAACAACCGTGGAAGAGAAAGAAGAATATAGTAGGAGAAGGAAAGCCTAGAGATGGTTATTTTAGAAATGTCAGATTTTTGACAAAGTCTAGGATCTGGTTGGGGTTTATTTTTGGAGAAGAAGGCTAGATTATCAATTTCATATCTTCCAAACTGCTTATGTCTTCTGCCAATCAGCGATGGACATCTACAGAGGATATGTTCAATTGTTTCTAGCTCTTCTTTACTATCTCGGCCGCTTTCGTGATTGCAAAGATTTTTTTTGCTTGAAAAACGATACAAAGATATATATAATTCCCTAAAGTAAACGCCTGCACCAGTGCCTTCCTCCATCTTTGAGCCGTCTGTGAAAACTGACAGACCTGACAGAGGTAAGAAGCCACTTGTACAGGATTCCCTACTTGGAAACTCTACTTTGATGTCATTAAAGTCTCTATGAGAGGGAACATAGTCACTAATGTGAGTATTTCTCCTCAAGAAATCACAACCTGGCGTTATGTTGAGGATACTAGTGTGACCATAGTTCAGCGATTTCCAGTTATCCGTTTCTCGGAGCCTCAGGGCAGATCTGGCCGCCTGGAATTTAATCAAAATGTCCAGTGGTTGGAGATTCAAGGTCGCATTCAATGCTGCCTGTTGTGTACTTCTTAGCGCTCCGGTAATCAGGATCGAAGCCGATCTCTCCTAAGGATGAGTTGATAATTCTGCTTTCCAGCATTCTATCAATCCAGTCCGTTAGAAGTGAGGGGATACCTGAATCCTAGCATTTTATACATTCATGTCTGTGTTTTTTTAACCCATTCTTTTAAGTGTCCTCAAATGTCGCTCTTTGTGAAGGACTACCAGAACCTTAAACGCCAACTTTAATAGTGGATTTTTAAACAAAACAATCAGAGGTTTAAATAATAATTTTTAGTGACTATAGAGAAAGGTATTAATTATTACAATATTAAATAAAATAATGTGGATGTTTATATCCACAGGAATTTTAATAATAAATGTAGAATGCATAATCATGATTGATCCTAGATATGTTATTGTTAATAGTTTCAATTGTATCATTTAAATAAAGGGCGTTTTAGACGCCGATAGAGCCTTACTTGTTCACACGTTTTGAAGAATATTAGAAGTGATTGTTATATATATTTAATAATATATATTTTTATGTTTTTGTTTTTAATAAATTCTAATATTTAATTTTCGACTTACCTGAACTTTGAACAAATTGCATGCGATCAGAATTCCATTTATAAAAATCTATCTTTTGGGTGTTTTTATCCAATAAAGCTAAGACATCGATAACATGGGAAGAATCATTGAAATACAAATGCATAACTTTTGATGAATGCGCAGTGAAGGTTTGGGCTATTTCAAAATGATCCAAGGCATAAGTTGTGTCTGAAAACAGATATTAAAATTTGATAACATTAACTTATATATTAATATATAATTTAAATTACCTTTTGTAATATTTTTCAAATAAGATTTTATTTTCTCAAAGCTTCGGAAATTTTGCAAAGTATTTGACTCATTTCCCCCCTTCACTGATCTTAGCCAACGTGTATTGGTGGCTTGCTGTGTTCCATAATCCAGTGGACCATAATATTTATCCGCATTAATTGGCTCCTTAAAAACCAGATGACTTGAAATTTCCGTATCTTTCGACCATGGAATTAAATTATCCATTAACTTTGGCATATATTCCGAATTAATAAAATCAACATATAAATTATCAATATTATTGGTTAGGAAACGTTTCTCATCCTTTAAATGACTTATTATGCGTAAATTTTTCGGTAGAATTTGTTTACTATCTTGCAAAAAAAGATTTTCTCCGGTAAATGTGATATTATTAAGTTCGCCCATAACTTGTAAATCATTAAAGATGTTCATCGATGTTATTGTTGTTGTACCATATATGGTATAATTTTCATATAGGTAAACGGCTTCATTAATCCATTTACCAATGGGTATTTTGTTAAGGACACTTGTTGCATCGGCCATAAGATTATCTATGGCAGCACCTTTTAAGAACATTTTGGGAGCTCTTATTTCATATGGCGAGCCGTTGTTGTTGTTGTTGTTATTGTGAACTACATCATCAACTAAATTTAGATTATTTATTAACATTTGATTAATGTTTCCATCGATAACAGCTTCCAGAATTGACCAATTGCCGGTTATTGTAGGAGGATGCTGGGGATCATTATTTGTTTTTAGCGTATTTTCGACAAATTTCATAAAATCCAATTGTGTTCCACTGTAAATATTATTAAAATGTAATTATTATTTCTTAATATTATTAATGGGAATCATATTACTGCAGATGGATTGGTTCACAATAAACTGAGATTTTTTAGTAATTCACCTGAATTTATTATTAATTATTAATGGGGGTTATTGTTATATGGATCTATCTAGAAACGTGAGTCAGTATTTTTGGTAAAGATATTTTATACCCAAAGTATCCCATTGGGATAAAATACTTTGGTTGAGAAGTCTGCCAAAGCTTCCCAAAATACCGAAATTTGTGAGGTACCGTTATATAGACCAATATTCGATCTAGTCCACCCTTCTTGTTTTTCAATAAATAAATGTGTTATCAATTCCGTTTCAATTTTCTCAATTTGATATTTAAAGAAGAAGCATTTAATTGCTAGTTTTGTTTTGATAACGAAGTTCGGCAGGTTAACAGGTAAGAGCATTTAATTTTATAAATATAAGAAGGGAAACGAATGTCTGAGACCATAATATTTTTGGAAATAGGCTATAGCCTTGAATTATAAAATAAAAAAAATACGCCTAGACACTGGTGTCTTGCTGGGTAGCATTTATCCACTTTACCCCATTAAAGTTGTCGGGGAAAGTTTGATAATGTCCACTCCACTAATCAGAAACATCAGCGGAGATATGCAGTATATTTTTATAAGCTCCAGTATATGTTTTGTTATAGCCTTATTAAAGATTCCGATCTTTTTTCGGTATTTTGAAGGGGCTATTTTTTAAACGAAGGGTCTGTAATTCGGTATTTGATCTGTTATTGGATGGTTTCGTGCTATCCGGGGCTCCTCTGGAGAAAATTTTCAATATCTGTCCAGTTTTTGCAATAGATCCGTACTCATTTTTGGTATTTTGAGGGCTTGGGCCGCATTTCCCCACCGAATTGGCATTAGATCGGTACTCATGGTTCCTGGAGGGTTAAAAACAATTCTGCAGTAAATTTCCGTTATCGGTACATCTTTTGTCATAGTTCACAAATAAAGTTCCCGCCCATTTTGTGTATTTTGGTTTTAGTCGCATTTTCCCACCGAAGTGGCTGTGACGATATAAGGTGCAAAGAGCCGCCTCGATGCTAACATGAGGAGCACCCCACAAGCATCTCTGAACGCAATACTGAACTTAAGGCCTCTGGCCCTCATCATAAAGTGTCAGTCCGCGCGTATTGCCCTAAGGCAGTATGAACAAAATCTTTGGCGAAGTTGTACCTTTGGGCATGGTTGTATCTTGAACGAACCACATATTACACTGTACCAACGCGTGAAACTAAGCGACTATATATTACCAGTCCTGAGATTTGACGATTAAGATGTCGTTATTTCTAGTAGAGACGACTGTAAACGGGGAAACCTTCCCTGGACGGTCTGGCTTTCTATACAGACGGATACAAGATGGAAGTAGGTACAGGGACTGGCGTTTACTGTGAAAAGCTAGGCCTTGTGCTTACCTACAAGCTGGATAGCATCTGTAGTGTTTTTTAAGCTGAAATCTTCGCGATTTGGAAGGCATCGGAATTTATAAAAAGTCTGGATGCAGAGATCGTTGAACCGGTGACTATCTTTGTGGATAGTCAAGCGGCTCTTAAAGCCATCAAATCCTGTTTCATCAAATCTGAGGCCGTCCTCAAGTGTAGAAAAGTTTTGGAAGAACTTATAGCTATCGGCTGTGTTGGGTACCAGGATACCGTGACATCATGGGTAACGAAAGAGCAGACGAATTAGCTAGAAGAGCATCACAATTTACAGATCAACAATTGATGTCATCTTAATCGGAACTTTGAGCGTTCTTCGACGAAAGAGCTTCTGAACTTTGGCACAATGAACCTAGGTATAATGTGTCAAGATTTATTTGGCCGACTCTGTCTACCAAAAGAACATACTCACTGTTGAACCTGACCAAAGCTGAAATTTGAGTAATGACAGGAATCATTACTGGACATTACCATATCAGGGCCTTTACCAGTAAAGTGTCTTAGATTCTTCTCAACAACGGAACCTGCTCTAATCTACAGCATCATTAGAAATCTAAAATGGTTGGGAAAGTGCATCCTTTTTAAGTTTCTTACCTAAATTACAAAGACATGGCTCCATATCTATATAAAGGTCGCTATCAATTTAAGAGGATTGAATGATACCACATCGCAGTGGAGTGGTTTGTTCGAACTTAGAAATGTTTTTTTCTCCTTACCTCTTTTCTTCGATAATGGGCCCAAACAATTGTACATCATCGGCCCGGATATCTTCGGCAAATGTTGCCGTTTCTGCCAATACCACTTGACTTGCAACATTTTGAGATTTCGATTTGCTAAAGTAATTTTCCTTAACGAAAGCCAAGTCCATGTTATTCATTCGTCCCTGAAATCGAAAAAAACATAACAGACATATAAATTCAATATCGTTTTTGATATTTACCTCAAATTCCAAAAGACCCTCAAAATAGGCATCATCAATATTGACATTTTTTGGCAAGACTACATTTTCATTTGCCAACCATACTGCATCCAAGGTTTTTGCAATATTTTGATAATTTAAAGTTTTATACGCAGGTGGACCGTGCTTCAAATAGGCATTCTCAACAATTAATTGGTGGCAGTAATCATCCTGAAGATATTCCTTTAAGCGTTGGACATGAATGTTTTTAATGATGGTAACATTTAATGGATCCTCCAAAACTTCCAAATCTCCTTCTATGGTGAGAGGGTGCAGAACACGTTGAATTTCATTGTGACAAAGAATTTCCTCCGGTAAATAGTGATGATTGAGGGTCAGGGTGGTTAAACCGGAGGTGATATCAATGGGATTTTCTAGAAAATAAAATATATTTTTTTGTAATAATTTCATATATATTTTTCAAGTCCTAGCTTACCAAACACCATTTCATTTAAGAACTCATCCCGATTGATCCAATAGGTTTTCGTATAGAGATCATTGATGGTGAAACCATTTAAATTTCCCTCTACATGTAAACCATTTTCCGCCGACACCGTACCAAATGTTTGTGGCACCATAAACACCTGTTGTTTGGCATATTTCTGTAGCCAAGTTTTACCCAATTCCTCCGCCTTGATGTCATTCAATTTGCCATAGAATGACAGCTTCGTGACATTCATGGGATAATTGAATTTAAAATTCCCAACATATTTAATATTACCCTCTAATTGGAGAAGATTCCGCTCAATCTCTTGTATATTCCTTTCATTAATGGTGGAATTCAGAATTAAATTTTTCACATATATCGAACCATGGAATTTTTGATTTTTCGAAAATACTTCTTGTTGGCTGGGAGCACTACGCGATTTTTGTCGATATATATCGACAATATTTTGTTGAAATATTCTATTATTCGTATTGAGATTATCTACTTTCAATGTTTCCACTTTGAGATTGTCCACAATTAGATTACCATTAACTGATTGATTGGACGATTTGGTAAGGTATTCCGATACATTACGATTGTTAATTAGAATTGAGGTACTATTGATGCTGGAAGTAAAAAAGTTGTTAGAAGGTTAATTCAGGTGTATTCAGGATTTAATTTTAATACACAAAAGTCCTACTTTTTACAAAGAATAAAAAAATGCCAACTATATTGGAATTAGCCTCCTTCCCATCGCATATAAAGTGCTATCCAGTGTGCAGCCCATTGGTCTATCCGTGGCAAATCCACCATTGACCAAAGGAAAAAACACATCGACACCTATTATTTATAAAACCGCAACAGCCTATCCGTTCAGAGGTGTTTAAAGCCATGTCTGCGTTTGGCATTCCTGCAAAATGAATTCGCCTATGTAGGATAACTTTAAGTGACAGAAGGTCAGCAGTTAAAGTCGGAAAGGACCTAACGGAGCCCTTCAATACCGAACGAGGATTCAGACAAACAAAACATTCTGTTGGAAAAGGTCATACGAGACGCAAAGGTGAACAGAAATGGCACTCTGTACACCAAACAACACATGTTACTCGTCTACACCGATGACATCGATATAATGGGTCGAACATTGCGAGCGGTAACAGCCATCTTTGAACAAATTGAGAAGGAGTGTGCCAAAGTGGGTCTGGCAGTAAATGGCGAGAAGACCAAACTGATGGTATCAACGCGCAAGACGTCCAGTAGACTCGGACCAACTGTGGAACTTGAGAACTACAGCTTCGAGGTAGTTAAGGATTTTATATAGCTTGGTACCGCCATAAACAAAACGAATGGCATCAGTTTTAAAATTCGGAGAAGGATAGTGATGGCCAAAAGATGCTACTATGGTCTAAGTAAGCAATTTAGAATTTAGATAGCTCTTGGGGTGTTTGAGAGAAAAATTCTCCGAAAGATATACGGACCGATCTGCGTCGACGGTAAATATCGGCGTCGTTTGAACCACGAGCTTTACAATGTACACGCGGATATTGACATAGTCAGTCGTATTGAGCTGCAATGACTACGGTGGCTAGGTTATGTGCGAATGAATGAGTATGCGATCTGATGGTTCACGCAGAAGGGGAAGGCCACGAATTACATGGAAAGACCAAGTAGAAGACAACATCTCGGAGCATGGTCTTTCAAATTTGAGGAGATGCGCACAAGACAGACGCGCTTGGAAATCTTTTTTAAGCTCGGTTTTATGACTACGAAAAAGAATTTGATAGAGTCAAGCGTGATGAACTTATATTATTCCTCATATCTATTGGTAGGATTTGAGAAAGAAATTCACTGCATTAAAAGGATGTTGATAGAGAACTGACTGAAGATATTACAATATATCCTGTCTCCTCTACTTTTCAATATATGTTCCAAAATATTTCAAGAATCGATAGATGGAATTCGATGAGGGATATGTGTAAATGACGCCTTTCTTAATAACATACGATATGTTAACGATACCACCATCGTATCTGAGAGTATGTCAGGACTTCAGCATCTCTTGGGTATATTAGTAGCATAAACGCGAACGATCTGGATAAATAGCATACACGAATGAACCAGTATTCGAGATGTTAACAACATATATGGTCAGTTCTGTTGTACGCTAATATAAAGAAATTGGGTTATGTTGGGAACCGCCATAGTTATTTGCCACCTTCCCACTAAACTCTCCCTTTCTATCTCTCTCTCTCTCTCTCTCTCTCGAAAAACTCACCTCTTTGCCTGAATTTTCCCGAATTTCATTGGCACCGTGATTGTTTGATTATTATTGCGCAGAAATGAATTCTTTTCCAATTTCTCCATATCGATGCCATTGAGATTTTTAAATTCACTAAAACCACGACTAATTTCCAATGAACCAGCAAATCGTTTTGGTCCTTCAATAATTTGTATTTCATCTTGATTGAGTTTTACCAGCCTTTGTAAATCATTACGATTTACAAAACTCACCAATGTGTTATTGGCTTTAAGCGGTTGAAGAAATTTCAATTTGATATCTTCCACATGTTGATTCATGCGAATACCCCTCTCCAGCGTTTGTTTGACGGACATTTTTTCACGTAAATCAATGATGTCGCCAGTTTTTAATAATCGATTGATATCCACATCACCGTTAATCATAAAATCACCCTGCAGTACCAGGGGTTGATGTATTGCCTTATTGGGTGTTATCGATTCCAGATGTTTACCCAACATTTGACCCTGCAATAAGAAAAATTAAAAGAAAAATATTTTGAATTTGAAGAGTTCCTTAACTTACTGCAATTGTTACCGGCTCCATAACCTTAACATTACGCATACTTTTCGGACCCTCAATAATTTGTGTTTCATTCGAACGCCGCAGCAGAACATCAAGTTTCCCTTGCAGTACATTGACATTATTTAGTCGTTCATTTATTTGCACGGATTTGGCACGAATCGGTTGGGCAAATTGTATATCTTGATTGATGACATATTCTCCACCATCTATGGGTATTAGGGTACTTAAATGTTGTTGATTTACAACATTACTGGTCACAACAAGTCGCGAAGTTTCTAAATTCTTTATTTTAATATTGGGAGCATTTATCAATTGTTCATCGCCCTCTCGTTTTAGGGTATCATTTAATAGTTCCATCCATGTAAATTCATTTAATTTTCCATTAATATTCAAATTTTCAATCATGAGCATTTCATTATCTTCCATATAGTTTAGATCGGATGACCTATCTTCGGGAAGAGGTTTTAAGAATTGTTCAAAAATGGTTATTTTGTCGGCATGTATTGCCTGGAATTCGGGATTTTCAATATTTATTTTGTTGATTATCTTTGCTTCTAATTTATTGTCGATAGTTAACTGCTTTATGTTGAGGGTCTCATAAACATATTCCGAAGACTCTTCGTGGTCGCTTTCCTTAGTTTGACGTTTTGTAGGGTGTTTTGGAACTACTTCGTCTTCAAGTATCTTCAAAGCCTGATTTATATAGCACAAGGTTTGCCAATAATTCGTGGACATTTTCTTTTTTGGATAGACCAACTAAAAAAGGAGTTTTTAATGAAAATGAATATCGTATTTAATGTTTCAATATTTTACCGATTTCGTGGAGACGGTATCAATATTGCTTGGGGTTATAGCTCTCTTCAATTTTGCAACATATGATTCGAGGATACTGCGTTTATTCTAGAAAAGATGCAGACATATATTGAAAAAATTTCCGCGATTTTTTTGAGGTTTCGCGAATTTTTTTCAATAGAAAACAATTTAAAACTGGTGTTCCGCGAATTTTTTTCCATAGAAAAAAAAATTGAAACTGGTGTTCCGCGAATTTTTTTCTACAGAATGATTTTCGAAATTGGTGTTCCGGGAATTTTTTTTCTATAGAAAACATTTTTAAACTGGTGTTCTCCGATTTTTTTTCTATAGAAAAAAATATGGAACTGGGTTCTCCGAATTTTTTTCTATAGAAAAAAATATGGAACTGGGTTCTCCGAATTTTTTTCTATAGAAAAAAATATGGAACTGGGTTCTCTGAATTTTTTTCTATAGAAAAAAAATATGGAACTGGGTTCTCTGAATTTTTTTCTCCGATTTTTTTCTATAAAAAATATGGAACTGGGTTCTCCGAATTTTTTTGTATAGAAAAAAATATGGAACTGGGTTCTCAGAATTTTTTTCTATAGAAAAAAATATGGAACTGGGTTCTCCGAATTTTTTTCTATAGAAAAAACTATGGAACTGGGTTCTCCGAATTTTTTTCTATAGAAAAAACTATGGAACTGGGTTCTCCGAATTTTTTTCTATAGAAAAAACTATGGAACTGGGTTCTCCGAATTTTTTTCTATAGAAAAAACTATGGAACTGGGTTCTCCGAATTTTTTTCTATAGTTTCGTCCGATTTTACCTAATTGGTGCACCAAACTCTCAATATTTGTCCGATTGAGACAAAATTTTGCACAGCGTGCTGAATTAGGTCCAGTTTAATGTCTATGAAGTTTTGTTGTAATCGGTTCAGATTCTACTTTTGAACATCCCTTAAAAAAATCGGACGAAAATATATATGGGGATTCGGAGAACCCCCGTTCCACACTTTTTTTCGGAAAAAATCGGTCAACCCCAGTTCCAAATTTTTTTCTATAGAAAAAAATTCGGAGAACCCCAGTTTCAAATTTTTGAAAAAAGTTAGGACCTGATCTGTTACCTGCACTTTTGCGGCCAATTTCTCAATATCATTAGTTTGTAATTTCCTAGATTCCTGTTCAAGCCATTCACTAATATCCTGCTTTAATTTTTGCAGTTTTGTTACGTCCTTAAAAATAGGTTCATATAAGACGGCTTGATTTTCCAACGCATTGCTATGGGAAATTAACAAAAAAGGTTTATCATTTTCCCGATATAAATGAAAATGTTGACCCGTAAAGTGCAACTGTAATTCCATGAATTTTCCATTATCAAAGCGATATGCCAGAATATCATCTTCAGCACAGGAGGTCATGAGAAGGCAAGACATTTCAAACTGCAAGAGAAGAACATTTATTTGACTTAGAAATATTGAAAGAAATCTCAATTTCCCTTACCTTTATGGCCTGAATTTTCTTGACATTTTTTAAAGATAACTTCTGATAGGGTACAAACCGCTTTTGATCATTGAAAAAATAGACAATCGAATTTTCCTCTCCGCTAGAGGCAAAAATTAGATAATGTTTTGTATCCTCATTCCTTTCCTGTATTTGAAAATACTCCACATCCTTGGCCTTTGTTGTTTCGATATTTTGATATAATTCAAATTGTTTCGAACTTCGAGAATATTTGAAGATTTTCGAAGAGTTCTCATCGTTAACTGCCATTGTAATATAGGCTTCTTGATTTATTGTAAATGGTTTTAAATTTTCAGTATTGTTCGGACAATGTAAAGTTCCAATTTTTTTAAAATTTTTATCACTGGACCATTTAAAATATGGACAGGATTCTCCATTACTGGTAATTTGAAAGAGATAGCATTCATTATCGCTGACATGTAGATGGGTGCTTTTCAACTGCGTATTTTTTATGGATTGAATGGGTTTGACATGCTGCGAAGTTATCTCATAGATTGTGGATGTATCTTCCGAGTCAGGTTTTGTTGTATTCACCTCTACAATGGAAATATAACCTTTGCCATTGTGGGCAGTACAATCCATAGAGACGGCATTCGGCAGAGCATAACTGCCAAGAGGATCATGAGTTTTATTCTGAAAAATAGAAAAAAACTGGTAATAAATATTTTTTTCCTCAGGAGAATTAAAAATAATACGAAGTCGTCATACGAGTCAATCTAGTTTAGAGATTCAGATGCCGTGGGGACTATGTTATAGGATTTTCAAGTTGTCAGCACAAGCCACTGATATTTACGATAAGATGAGAAGTAGTACAGGGCTCTCAAGTCGCTGTCTGGCAGCAATTAAAGCACTGACAAGGAGACTTTGCAGACCACTTATAAAGCAATATGCATTCGGCACCAGTGTAGTTTGCAAGTGATACACAGTGGAAGAAGATTCAGACCAGCCTAAATGCCGACCTGTGAACTAAAACAGAGTATCTCCCCATTCCTGCCATATTCTTATGGGCTGGCATTCCAAGTACATGCGAAGTGATCTTCATGATCTCTTCAGAGGAAGAGGTCCCAAGGTACGTGTTTAAACTTCAAGATAAAATTGCTATTTTGAAAGCTCCGTATAGCATCCATAGAGATACGGTCGGCCAGGGAGAAGAGGAATACCGAATGAATCTCTAGACTAACAGGCCTATCAGACCTATCATGGACCTAGTCATGGTCAAATGTGTAAATTCGTGGGGCAAGACGCGAATTTGTGAAAAAAATTGAATCTGTGAAAATTTGTCTATAAACCAGTAAGGAAAGTAGTAAAGTCGGACGGGGCCGACTATATGATACCCTTCACCACTTTGAGTATATTCAACAGATGAATCCTAACAGAAACCGCATTTTTAAAGGACCAGTAAAATGAAATTGGAACCATAAACATGTCATTCTGCAACCGATACTAAATTGTTCATTTGGTCAGATATAGAAGCTATATCTAAATCTGAACCGATTTCAGGAAACTTAACACACATCATTCTAGACCTAATTTGCTACGCTGTGCCAAATTTCGAGCAAATCGAAAGATATATAGGGACTTTGGTGCACCATTTACATTAAATCTGACGAAAGTATATGTGGGAGCTATATATAAATCTGAACCGATTTTCAGGCAACTTTACACACATCATTCTAGACCTAATTTGCTACGCTGTGCCAAATTTCGAGCTTAAATCGACTAAAAAAGTGATTCTATGCATATTCTCAAAAGGAGCCATGGGTCTATCTCGATTATTTTTGCATGTTACAAACATATGCACAAAACCAGTAAGGAAAGTAGTAAAGTCGGACGGGGCCGACTATATGATACCCTTAACCGCTATGGGTATATTAAACTGGACTATTAGCATGAAATTGGATGAAATAAAATATGTGATATTTATCTAAATGTTAATCTACGTAGATCTATCCATAAAGTATGTAAATCGACTTCAAACAAATATAAATGGGTCATCCGTTGGGCTATGTCTGTACTTCTAGAAAACGCAACTACATAATTCTATGCTCAATTTTGTACGTTGTGCAAAATTTGATGTCAAACTGACTAACATGAGGAGTTTGATGCCCAATTTACTTGAAATCGGGCGAAAATATATATGGAAGCTCTATCCAAATATTAAGCGATTTCAAACAAACTTGTGACAGAAGGTTAGACTAATTTCAGAACGTTTTGTTCCTATTGGTTCTTGGTGCGTCAATTACTTAAAATCAATCTATAATAAAAAGGAGCTATATCTAAATCTGGACCGATTTTCACGAAACAACGCAGACATCACTCTAGGCTCAATTCAGTACGTTATGCCAAATTTTGTGCAAAACGAAAGATATATAGGGACTTTGGTGCAACATTTACATGAAATCGGACGAAACTATATGTGGGAGCTATATAGAAATCTGGACCGATTTTCACGAAACTTGGCAGACATCATTCTAGACTAAATTCAGTACGTTATGCCAAATTTCGGGCAAATCGAAGGATATATATGGACTTTGGTGCACCATTTACATGAAATCGGACGAAACTATATATGGGAGCTATATGTAAATCTTGACCTATTTTCACGAAACTTGGCAGACATCATTCTAGGCCTAAATGATTAGGCTGTACCAAATTTCGTGCAAATCAAAAGATATATAGGGACTTTGGGCACCATTTACATGAAATCGGACGAAACTATATATGGAAGATATATCTAAATCAGGACCGATTTTCATGAAACTTGGCAGACATCATTCTGGGCTCAGTTAAGTACGTTATGCCACATTTCGTGCACCTCGAAGGATATATAGGGACTTTGGTGCACCATTTACATGTAATCGGACGAAACTATATATGGGACCTATATCTAAATCTGGACCGATTTTCTCGAAACTTGGCAGACATCATTCTGGGCTCAATTAAGTACGTTATGCCAAATTTCGTGCAAATCGAAGGATATATATGGACTTTGGTGCACCATTTACATGTAATCGGACGAAGCTATATATGGGAGCTATATCTAAATCTGGACCGATTTTCTCGAAACTTGGCAGACATCATTCTAGGCTCAATTCAGTACGTTATACCAAATTTCGTGGAAATCGAAAGATATATAAGAACATTAGGGCACCATTTACATGAAATCAGACGAAACTATATATGGGAGCTATATCTAAATCTGGACCGATTTTCTCGAAACTTGGCAGACATCATTCTGGGCTCAATTAAGTACGTTATGCCAAATTTCGTGCAAATCGAAGGATATATAGGGGCTTTGGTGCACCATATACATGTAATCGGACGAAGCTATATATGGGAGCTATATCTAAATCTGGACCGATTTTCTCGAAACTTGGCAGACATCATTCTTGGCTCAATTCTGTACGTTATACCAAATTTCGTGCAAATCGAAAGATATATAAGAACATTAGGGCACCATTTACATGAAATCGGACGAAACTATATATGGGAGCTATATCTAAATCTGGACCGATTTTCACGAAAATTGCCAGACATCACTCTAGGCTTAATTCAGTACGTTATGCCAAATTTCGTGCAAATCAAAAGATATATAGGGACTTTGGGGCACCATTTGTATGAAATCGGACGAAACTATATATGGGAGCTATATCTAAATCTGGACCGATTTTCACGAAACTTGGCAGACATCACTCTAGGCTTAATTCAGTACGTTATGCCAAATTTCGTACAAATCAAAAGATATATAGGGACTTAGGGGCACCATTTACATGAAATCGGACGAAACTATATATGGGAGCTATATCTAAATCTGGACCGATTTTCACGAAACTTGGCAGACATCACTCTAGGCTTAATTCAGTACGTTGTGCCAAATTTCGTGCAAATCGAAGGATATATAGGGACTTTGGGGCACCATTTACATGAAATCGGACGAAACTATATATGGGAGCTATATCTAAATCTGGACCGATTTTCTTGAAACTGGGCAGACACCATTCTAGACTCAATTCAGTACGTTATGCCAAATTTCGTGCAAGTCGAAAGATATATAGAGACTTTGGGGCACCATTTACATGAAATCGGACGAAACTATATATGGGAGCTATATCTAAATCTGGACCGATTTTCACGAAACTTGGCAGACATTACTCTAGGCTTAATTCAGTACGTTATGCCAAATTTCGTGCAAATCAAAAGATATATAGGGACTTTGGGGCACCATTTACATGAAATCGGACGAAACTATATATGGGAGCTATATCTAAATCTGGACCGATTTTCACGAAACTTGGCAGACATCATTCTAGACCTAAATGATTAGGCTGTACTAAATTTCGTGCAAATCGAAAGTTATATAGGGACTGTTTACATTAAATCGGTTAAATATATATATGGGAGCTATATCTAAATCTGAACCGATTTTTCCCAATTTCAATAGGGTTCGTCCTTGGGCCAAATAAGTGACCTATGCCAAATTTCATCCAATTCGGATCATAAATGCGACCTGTACTTTGTTTACAATTTAACATGGACAGACGGACGGACGGACGGACGGACAGACGGACATGCGTAAATCGACTCAGAAAGTGATTCTATGCATATTCTCAAAAGGAACCATGGGTCTATCTCGATTATTTTTGCCTGTTACAAACATATGCACAAAGACATAATACCCTGTACCACAGTGTGGTGAAGGGTATAAAAATGTAGACCTGGGCGTCTGTGAACTTTTTTTCGGTGAAAAAAAAAATATCGACCTGGGTGTCTGTGAATTTTGTTTTTATGAAAAAAAGAACACCTAAAGATCAGTGTTTTTTTTCTATAAAAAAATGTAGACCTGGGGTCCGTGCTAGTATATTATAAAGTTCGAAATTATTATACCTACCACAATTTTTAGTACTGTAAACTGTTTCGTGCCCTTCTCGTTGCGATGTAAAGCTGCAGCATATCTTTGCCCAGACTCTTCGATATGAATAACACAAACATCCAAAGGAAATGGTATCGGTAGGGAATTCACTTTTTTATATCCACTTAGTATTAGAGGTTCTGAAAAATAAAACAAAATATTTCAAATTTCGTAAATATTGTAATATTATCTCTTTCTTTCTATTTTTAGTTCCATCCCAACAACATGGATGATCAATTGGAAATGTATAAAGAATGTATTGCCAAGCAGCTGGAAGAGGTGGATATGTTATCCTCGATTTATTGTAGTCCTGGAGAAATGCACATTTTCGATCCGGGTGTTATAAGTGATTTCAATGAATTCTTGGAAAATCCCACCACTGAAAATGTAATGTTGTGCATTAAAGCCCACCTCGATTATAGTATTAAGTTGCAATGTGGAAGACCTAATGAAAAGCTGGAAGTACGCATAGAATTGCCGCACATGTATCCACTGCTGGAAAATGCAATTGTCATTGTTCACACACCACTGCTAACGAAAAACAAAGAGATCTATTTGAAAAAGGAATTGGAAATTTATATTGAATCAATGGATAAAAGTGAAACATATATTTATCAGGTTTTATCATGGCTGCAGGATAACATTGATGATTTAATACAACGAAAGGCAAGTGATTTTGAGGTGATGACCACCACGACCAATCAAGAAGATGAACTATTGGATTTTGAACGTCTGTGGATTTATTCACATCACATAAAATCGAAAACAAAACGTCAAGAAATTGTTAAGGAGGCACGCAACTTGGAATTGACGGGTTTCAGCCGGCCCGGTAAACCTGGCATCATTTGTGTTGAGGGCACCAAAGAAAATACTCAGGAATTTTGGCGTACCATAAGGGCATATGGTTGGCAAAAGATATCGCTGTGTAAAATTGAGTCTGCCCGAAAAACGAAAGATAAATTGGATAAATTACGGCGTTTTGAAGGTTTCAAGGAACAATTGTTTTGTGATGATATTGAAAATAGTGATGGTGTTATGAATATGGCATTGTTTTTGAAATATTTGGAGAATCACAATTCTGGGTATATGAAAAAGGAGTTATTTGGGTTAGAATAGTTTGTAGTTTATTATACGAGTATTGTAAATAATTTAAAATTTGTTAAATAATTTTTTGTATATTTCCTTTCCTTTAATAAAAATAATTAAAGTTTTAGAAACATAATTTCTTGTGGGAGAACTGTTCCGACCGGAGAAAATTAGTAGCCAATTAAATCACATATTGTGAATTACAGAAAAAGTAAAGTATAGGGTCCTGACATACTACTGACCACAGCAAACTTAGCCACTCCCAGCATGCATACATCAAAGGCAAACCAGTGAATACAGCCTTTCATGAGGTGGTTGGATGCATCGAGAAGAATATGGAGTCCTCTGGCTACACTTTGGCATTTCTCGACATTGAGGGAGCTTTCAACAATGTGAAGCTGGAAGTCATCCATTCTGCTCTCGTAAGCACAGGTATCCCCTCACTTCTAACGGAATGGATTGATAGAATGCTGGAAAACAGAATTATAAACTCATCCTTAGGAGAGACTTCCGTGAGGATATGTGTCAACAGAGGCACACCAAAGGGAGGAGTACTTTCCCCCCTTCTGTGGCTTCTGGTGATAAATGAGATACTGTGTTATAGCTACACCAATGTTTATAATATAGTTTATAACGAACCACCTTAATATCTTTCTTTTCTATAAATTATAACGAACCACCTTACTATTTAATTGTCAATCTTTCTTTTCACTCATTCGTAAACAAAACAAATTGAACTTCCGTAATATTTAACTAATTAATTATCATTAACTGCAAATAATTGGGTCAACTTACAAAATACAACTTACAAAAACTAAATAATAATTCATATTGTCAAATAAGCATTTATTATAAGTTCAATCACTTTATAAAATTAAAATTCAAAATCATCAATTCCAAAGAACTGGGTCACAATAGTAACAGTTCTTCGGAATTATTAAAATTAAGATAAGCATTATTCTCATGTAAAAATCATATATAAGCATCGATAAAAATTGTAAAATATCAGTTAGTGTTCAATTTTGAAAATAAATTAACATCTCTCGAAACCTAAAACCGTGTTTTTTTTAAAATAAAGAAACCGGTAAAACTAAACTGGCGCAGTCGGTAGGATCCGCGAAATACATTACGAAGGATATGTATTTACGTTTCAACGTTTTATCGCGGAATAAAAAGGATCTATAAAAATAGATCCTCCGGAGTTAAAAAAAAAGGATACTAGAAAATAATATCCTTATCAGTGACAAAAGTTCACATCCACGAACTAAGGACGAATATTAATCGATAATATTCCTTGTCGTGTAAAAAAAAAAGGATCCGCGTAATACTTAACAAAAGTTTACGGTTTCACGCGGAATCAAAGACAGAAAGGACCTAAAAAGTAGATCCTCTACTATTTAAAATAAGGATTATTAAATAATAATATCCTTATTCGTTCGCGAATTAAAAAAAAGGAATATTAATCGATAATATTCCAATTCGTGATTAAAAAAAAATATTATACGTGGAATAAAGAACAAAGGACCTAAAAAATAGATCCATTAAAAAAAGGATTATTAAAAAATAATATCCTTAATTATTCCGCGAAATAAAAAAAATAGAAGAATATTAATCGCTGATATTCGAAAAAAAAAATAGACAAAAAACCTAGTGACAAATTAATAAACAAACAAAAGAAGCAGATTTTCCAAGACGCAGATTTCCAAAGACGTTGATCTCCAAAGACGCAGATTTCCAAAGAAGCAGATTTCAATAAAGAAGAGAAGCAGTATACTAAAAGGACGCCTAAAAAGGACGAGCACGAGTGAATTCCCATAAACATTGTAAGATTAAAATATGATATATTTTTATTAATATAATTAACATAACTATATAATAAGGAACTACCATACATATTATTTACTTTTTTAATTTGTTTTCACCTTGAATTATTTAAAAACAAAAAATCCATGAGCGAATCTGAAATTTCGGACTACCCTTCAGACTTAGATTACGAAGTAGAACCAGAATTTATCGACTATATAGAACAAACTCTCGATTCAGGATTTGAATCAACGGACGGCTATTTAACTGACATTAACGATAATATCAGACTAGAAGTCAATAATCAAACAAGAAATCGTTCTAGAAACAGGATAATTAATAGAAAACGTAGACTTCAGAGAAGAAATTTATAAAAACAAAATGCCTAACGACAATTCAACTCCCCTATCGATCACTATCGATCCCCTTAAATATTTAGGTACACTTCCCGAATTTACCGGAGACTATCGAGATCTTCAAACCTTCATTAACCTAATAGAGAGAGTTCATCCTCTTCTCCAAAGATACGATGAACCATCTCAATATTTATTTTCTGACATAATAAAAAGCAAATTGAAAGGAAAAGCTAGGGAAATAATTGAAATAAATTGCCAAGCGCAATCTTGGAATGAGATAAAATCGATACTTATGAATAACTTTGGCGAAAGACAAAGTTTAGAAGAATTATTTGACAAATTAAAGAGTGTTACTTTTAAAACTAACAGTGTTGATTTTTATAATGACATTAAAACCCATCTAAGAAGTCTCAATAACAAAACAATTATAACATTAGGAACAGGACCAGGAACTAATGAATGTGCCAAAAATAACATGAAGACAGCCCTAAACATATTCAGAGAAAAGTTACCTGAACCTATGAAAACTATAGGTGTGTCTGGTTACCCTAAAGTTTGTAACAATTGTTACAAATTGTTACTGGAAGTCGTCTGTTAACCCAAAAGTTCTGCAAAAGAGAGCGGTTGGAGAGAGAAATTTTGACAGTTCTTTCAGTGAGAGTTTGCAAATTCTTGCTGGAAAAATTTCTTCTTGCAATCTCTTGCAACTCTTCTTCTTCTCATACATCGACATTCAATCAGATGTTTTCTATTGTTTGTTTATTTATTTTTGTGCTTTCAATTTGAAAATAATTTTTTTTGGAATTAGCAAGACTAATTGTTTTTGGAGAAAAACTTTACAAAACGAGAAAAACGTAAGTATTAATATGTAATAGGAAAATAAAAGACTATTTCCAGCATTTTTAGAAAAATGACGGAAGAAGATCAGTGTGTCTCTGTAGCCAGTGGCAGTAAATTATTAAGCCCAAATATGGATTTGGATATGCAGAAAGGTAGTTATGATGGTTTCCAACTTATTTTTTTACATTTCTGTGTGAAAAGTAGGAATGGTACAAAATATAGCTCTGACTTTCTTCTTTTTAAGAAACAATTGTTAAGGTGGTTACTACATTGTTGATGGAATCATCCTCATCTGAAAGTGATGATGATGATGAGGTATTTTTTGGTTTGTTTTGACAAATCAGCTGATTAGTTGCAAGCTTCTGCAGGGATGCCGTCTGTTTACTTTTCGCATTTTTCTTGCAAAAGAGAATAAAACTACCTTACTCTCTCAGAAAGAAGTTACTGGACAATTCCTGCAGGGAAAGTAACCAGACACACCTTATAATTACATGTAGGAATCCAGATACATTAGAAATAGCAATGGATATATTATTTCAATCAGGTTATGCATATTACACTACATCAAACGGAGTGTTTAATACTACTCCAAAACAATTTAATAAACAAGACAACAATAAACACAAACAAGAATACAGAAACCAAACACAAACACCACAAAACAATGACAGACCACAACAAAACAATTCAAATAACCACAATCATTTCCAAGGAAACAAAAATTACAGAGCAAGACCAAGTCAAGGATATAAGAACAATAATCAAATCAATAGGAACTTCAATGGCAATAATTATCAACCAAGGGACAACTATTTTCAGCAAAATATATATGTAGGCAATAATCCAACTCAACCCAATTTTCAAAATAATTGGAAACACAATTTCAACCATGGAAATAGACAACCTGTCCCTGAACCATTGGACATAAATATGGTTCAAAATCAGGCACAAACTTATAATAATGAACAGTATTTCGGTAAAAATAACCAAGCATACTCAAATACAGAACAAGAATATTCAAATTAGCAAATACATCCTAACAATCAAGAAATATCAGAACATCAAGATCAAAATAAACACGATATTCCTCAAAATTTTATTACACTAGCCTCCGGGGCCAATTACCCCATATAATAGTAAAA